CTGAGAAGAGGAAGAAGAAGAACTCTCTCTCTCCCATGTGCCAGGTACTAACCTGTGAAGTTGGCGCTGTGCTGCAGCTACCTCGAAGACGGAGCTGGAGCTATGGCGCTGCAGGTAAGTCTCCCTCTCCTCCGCTCAATCTCTCTCTCTCCAGTACTACTCTAGCTCCTACTAGCGCCCAGTGCTGAAGACTACTGCTAACGCTACTAGCGCCCAGTGCTAGCGCTACTACTACTCCTGCAGCGCTCCTCCAGAGTGCTGCTGCCGAATCCTGAAGACTACCTCCTGCCTCCTGAACTGCACGTGAAATGCCTGGGAAGTACCTAGGAACTACCTACCAGCCTGCAGGGCGGGCCAGTCCTATATAGTGCTGGCCGGTCCAGGAGGCTGCTCTTGCCAATGCCGAAACGTGCCAGACGCTCGCGTTGAAGCTCAACCAGCGGTTGTCTTGAAAACAGGCCCGAAATGGCCTGTGCTAAAACCCTGGTTTGTTGCCTGAGTTTCAGGGTGGGTCGAACTGATGAGGGCCTGAAAATGGCCCTCAGTTTCAGGCTGAAAACACTCAGGCCCGAAAGGCCCTGATTTAGCCTGAAACGGCACAGGGCCTGTAGGCCCTTGTTTTTAGGCTTTCAGGCTGAAACGATACGGGGCCTGTAGGCCCTTGTTTTCAGGTTTTTGGCCTGAAAACGTCACGGGGCTGAAAGGGGGGCCGTGCAGCCTGTTGCAGGCGCAGCATGTAACACCCCCCCCTCCTTATGAAGTCAAGCCGGGATGAGGGCGAAGCTGACGATCTGATGGTGGAACATGGATGCGGGTGCGACGTGGAGCCGAAGATACTGGCTTGCCTTGCATCTTGTGTTCGTAGCGTGCGAGAACATCCGGAGCGGTTGCTTGGAGTTCCGCACGGGTCAACCAACGGTCAGCTCTATGACTACAGTACGCAAAGTGTACCAAGTACTCGATTGGCCTGTTGCCGTAGCGCTGCTGGGAGATGATGTTGCCGACCTCTTGAAAACCGTCCATAGAGGGTGGGTCTTGCCATCGTCGCCCGGGAAAATCGTGATGTTCCGCTGGCGTGTAGAGAGCCAACTTGGAGCAATGAAAGACTGGGTAGACGGGCAAGTGGGCGGGCACCTGAATGGTGAAGGAAGGTCCCTCGGGTGCATCCCCAGCAGGTGCCACGATCGGCCAAGGCCCCATCCATTTCGGGAGGAGCTTGCGAGAGAGATCTTGTTCAAGGCTGAAATTTTGCGGCGGAAACCCAAACGAGATCGTCGACGCGGAATGGGAAAGGAAGACGCTGGCGATTGGCCTGTTGGCTCATGCGTTGCTGCGTCTTGGCCATCTGGTCGCGTGCCTTGACAATCCGACGCAAGAAAAGAAGATGATCGTCGCTCTCAGCAGTTTGTGGAATGATTGTGTCCAACGGCGAAGTGACCGGCGAGCCATGCTCGAACTCGAAGGGCGACATCCCGATAGTTGGGTGGATGGACGAGTTGTATGCCAACTCGACATCCGGCAGCCGCTCAACCCAATCCTTTTGGTCAGGACGGATGAGAGTGCGAAGGAGAACCTGTGCGGTCTGATGTGCCCTCTTTGTTTGGCCATCGGTTTGGGGGTGGCGAGTTGAACTTGGCTTGAGAGATGAGCCCCATCGTTTGATGAGCGCCAACCAAAAATCGGACATGAACCGAGTGTCGCGGTCCCAAACGATTTCCTTGGGGTAACCCTTGGTTCGAATCCAACCGGCGTAAAGAACCTCGGCCAACTCCGGTGCCTTGGCATGATAGCGACAAGGCAAAAACATGGCAAACTTGGTGAGTCAGTCGACCACCGTGAGAATCCCATCCACACCGGTCGTGTGCTTGGGGAACGGCCCAGTAATGTCCATGACAATTGCTTCCCTTCGGCGCAAGGGGACTGGTAGCGGTCGCAACTCGCCGTACGGACGATGGTTGCGGGATTTGCAGCGTCGGCAAACCTCGCATGATTCGCAATAGCGTGTGACGTCGTCGAGAAGCTTGGGCCACCAAAATCGCTCGCGAAGTCGGCCAATCGTGCGATTGACTCCAAAGTGCCCGGTGGCGGGAGCATCGTGGAAATCGCCAAGAAGCCGTGTACGCAAGTGAGCGTCACTCGGTATGCAAAGAAGGTCCTTCCCCCGCGTGTGGACAATCAAGTACCCCTCTTGGATCCGGTAGTGAGAAGGCGCCGGATTACGAGAGGAGCAATTCGTGTACTTGTCGCGAAACTCGGGGTCGGCTTGGTAGCCGCGGATGAAGTTGTCCCGCAAGTCGTCGCCGATCTCGAAGGTCGAATAGACTGCGGTACAATGATCCGAACGCCGTGAAAGAGCATCCGCAAAACGGTTAGACTTCCCCGGAATGTGATCGGGAAAGAAGTCGAATTGGTCGATGAAAGCCATSCAAYGGGCGATGGTGCTATTGACGGTGTCTTGGGTCTTGTAGAAGACCAACGGATTGTTGTCCGTTACCCATCGGAATTGACTTCGACCAAGGAGGAAGTGCCGCCACGGCTTGAGCACGTGGACGAAGGCTAGGAGCGCGTTCTTGCGTGCATCATCAATGGAGTGCACGACTGGCACTTTCTTGCTGAAGTACTTGACCGGGTGCCAGTCCACGCCATCGTGTTGTTCGAGGACGACACCAATGCCACAGCCGGACGCATCTGTAGTGACGCGTGTTGGCAATAGCGGGTCGTATATGCGCAAGACCTCCGCAGATAATAGCGCGGCTTTGAGAGCAAAAAATGATTCTCGCGCATCCTCTCCAAAGTCAAACGGCCGATCCTCGTATTGTAGCTTGGTCAAGTGGGCCTCGGTCTTCGAGTATCCCTTGGTAAAACGTTGGTAGTAGCCGGCAAGGCCAGGGAACGAACGGACATCCGTGACGCTCCGCGGCTCCGGCCACTCTTGGATGGCATGAATCTAGTCCGATAACGGACTGATGCCCTCGGGTGTGACAAAATGGCCCAAGTATTCCAGCTCTTGCCGGACAAATTCGCACTTGTCGCTGTTGGCTTTGTACTTGGCGGGGCGGAGTGTCTCCAACACTCGTCGAAGGTGTTCAAGATGATCCTCCAATGTTCGGCTATAGTCGAGAATGTCGTCTAAGTAGACCAGCACGAACCGGTCCAACATTGCATGGAACTCGTTGGTCATTGCCGCTTGAAAGGTCGTCGGGGCGTTGGTGAGGCCAAAAGGCATGACCACCCACTCAAAATGCCCATACCGCGTCTTGAACGTGGATTTGTAGCGATCGTTCGGTCGGATCGAAATCTGATGGTATCCCGACTTCAAATCCAACTTAGAGAAGTACTTCGCGCCGCCCAATCGCTCAAGAAGATCGTCGATGCAAGGAAGAGGCCCCGCATTCTTGACGGTTTGCGCGTTGAGCTTGCGGTAGTCGATGCACAATCGTAGATCCTTGTTCTTCTTCCGTACGAAGAGAACTGGCGCTCCATATGGAGAGCTACTAAGGCGGATCCAGCCCTTGTCCAACAAGTCATCGAGTGTCACGCGGAGGACCGTAAGCTCCTCCTCGCTCATGCGGTAAATGCAACCTTTCAGCGGCACGACACCAGCCTCAAGAATGATTTCGTGAGAGATTGGCCAATCCGGCACCACAGCGGTAGGTGACTCAAAGATATCGGCGAACTCGTCAAGCAACCGCACCACACGGGGGTCTGAAGACAAGTCCGTGGGTGAAGAGTCGGCTACCGCGACGCCGGTGGAAGTTGACCGTGTGATCCGCACTTGCAAGCCAAGGCATTCCCAATATAATGTCGAAGTCCGTGTCCAAAATGTCGAATGTCACCAGTTCGCATGCATGAGGTGCGAAATACACCGGTACGGCCTCGATGTAGCGGTCGATAAGTTGCTGCGTCCTTCTGTTTGCCAACTTGATCGCCGTCGGGTTTGCCTTCCTTCGAGCTTGTGCGCCAAGGCCAGCCTTTTGCATAAAGGCCTGACTCATAAAATTGTGAGACGCGCCGCTATCCAGCAAAGCGTCACAGGACGCTTGCCCAACTTGGATGCAGACATAGAGAGCGGTGTGTTGTTATCGTCGTACCACTGATTGCGAAACTTGCAGGCCACCTTGGTAACATATGCAAGGATGTCCCCCACCGCGACTTCGTCATCCGTCGGCGAAGTTGGTGGTGCATAGAAGGATAAGTACATGTGAAGATGAGCGCATAATGTTGCGCATTGCAGTCTCAGCAAGCGGTCCGTGGTCGGGAGAGGAAGCCATGCGAAATCCTCGGACGTGAGCGAGTCCAATACCTCTATGTTGAACTCGCGCGCCGAATCCTGTGAAGAACCACTTGAAGACGATATGTTGCCGTTGCCGGAGGAAAAGATGCCGCACACACATCTTGTCCTTGAGCATGAGTACCCAGTGTAGAAACGAGTTGGGCAGCATAGTCCTCAAAAGAATAAAGAAGAGGAGGACTATCGACTTCCGCATGTGCCTCGGAACGAAGGGCGGTCACCCGCGAAGTGCCGAAGTCGTCGAGAGTGTCATCGACTTACTCCCGGTGGTGCTCAGTTTCCCGATTTGCCCTTGCCTTTTGACAGGCAGCCCATTGTCTTGTGGAGATCGCTATTACACCACAAACAATAAGGGAATCTTGTGCGTGCCTTGTATGCTTGCTCGGAGAGACCGTATTGGGACCATGGGGCTGGAGCTGCTGCGCCGGGCCCGGGGCTAGATGCGGTGTTTGTCTTCATCTTGCCGCGTCCTCAACCTTTGCCGGGGCGGGCACCATCCTAGGCGGCTACGAGTCTGTCCCCTTCATTGGCAGACACGGCCTCGCTAGTTGTTCGATTAACGTTGTCGCAGCGACCACGACCACTTTCAGTCGATGTTGATCTCTACTCGGGCTTGTCGCAAATGAACGGTGGAGGTTTTTAGCCTCCTTGTTCGTTACAATAATCTGCGCGGCCTTGTCGAAGAGCTCCGCCGATGTCATCAAGGTGTCCTCGATGTGAGTCAAGGCATTGCCCAACGTCGGACACGACCTCGAGATGAAGTAGTGTTTGATGGCTTTGAAGCCCATTTGAATGTCGGATGTCAATCGTTGGTACTCGACAATCTAGTCAACACTCGGCAGCGTGCCTTGTTCGAAGGTCATCAACTTGTCCATTGCCTTGATCTCTGGCGGCTCTACTTGGAGCCGCTTATGCCATGCCGCCTTTAGATCATCCCAGCTGATCTTGGTATGCAAGTTGGCAGCCACCACTCCGTACTTGGACAGGAGATTGTCCAGCCATGCTTGGCACGCGCCCCCTGAGCGGGAGTATAAGTACGCGTGATGTTTGTGCACACTGACATAGTGTAGTTGCAACTTGAGTTCGAACTTCCGGAACCACGGAATCGGGTCCGTCTTCGACGAATCGCAGAAGATCTCCTGATCATCGAACTTTGGAGTTGTCTCGCGCGGTTCCGATCTCGAGTGAGTGGCGGCCGTACAGATCCGCTGCTCCAACTGTTGCGTGGTGTTTTGCTGTAACTGCACGTCGTCCTTGAGGGATCCGACGTCAATCTTCAATGCCTCAAGGCGATCGGAGGTGTTGGAAGAGCCGGCAACGGGGGCGGCGACGGTTTGTTCTAGCTGCTGGAGGCAGTTGGTGAGTTGGTCAAACACCTGATTGTGTGTCTGAACCACGTCGTCGAGAATGCGTGTGGCCAGGAGGTCCGTGAGATGGGAGAGGAGTAGAGCGATCTTGTTTCCACTCTCTTCCAACTTCCCATTCTCAGCCTCGGCCCGCCAGTCTGCTGCCATTGTGAGCAAAACTCGCTCTCCGTCGCATATCTTCTCGCGTCGTTGAAGTCGTTCTTCATTGGCAGCCTTTGCTGCTGCCTCGTTTTGCTGGCGCTGCTGTTCAATTGCCAACAGACGTGCCTTCTCGGCGTCCTCTGCCTTCTTCTTTGTTGCGGCTGTGATTGCATCCGACCGTTGCTTGGCTTCGGTAATCAGAAGCAGCATCCGGGCCTAATAGGCCTCGTCCGTTTCCCCGGACTTCTGGTCCATGACGGCTGTTTGCGAGCGCGTGAGCATACCCCAGGTCGGGGGCCTGCTGACGTGGTACTCCCTAGTGCTGACGTCGCACGGCTATCTGATGACGTGTCCTGCTGACGTGTCCTGCTGACGTGTTCTGCTGATGTGGTCTGCTGACGTGGTCTGCTGATGTGGCAACTTACCAATGCCACTGCAGGGGGTACCCGAAGACAGAGAGAGAAGATAAGGCGAGAGGGGGCAACAACATAGGTGGGAAGGGGTGGGTGGGGATAAATTGCCCAGATAAGGAGCCACTAATCAAAAAAGAAAAGTTTGAACTTTGCAAAAAAAAATTTAGAGAAAATAAAAATTCCGAGTTTTGTACGTTCAGTAGGTCTCCCAACCTCCCTTGAAGTGCAAAATTATGAAAGAGAAAAAAATTTCGAACTTTCAGACTGCCAATGATTATCAGGTAGTGAAAATCATAGAACTACGAATAAGAAAAATTCCAAAAAGAAATAACAAGTATTCGGACTTACTCAGATGAGAGTATTCGCAGTTTGGAAAATAGAACTGCAAGAGGGATTTCCCGTACCGCTTTGAAAAAAACGGATTTCGGAAAAAAATACTTCGAACTTACAAATAATGGGAAATTGCAAAAGGAAATCAAAATTTTCGAAAAAAAGATATTCCGGATTTTTTAACAACGAAATTTTGAATTTTTAGAAGAAAAACAAAAACGGAAATTTCAGATGTTGCGCTATTGGGATTTTCTACAACAGAAATAGTGAGAAAACGAAATCCAAGAAAAGAAAAAAAAAATCGATTTTCGGCAGTGAGGTCAAAATCGTGATTTTTTTTTTTTTTTTTTTGAGAAGTTATCGCTTTATATTTCAAAACAAAAGTGGTCGAGGCCGGGGACCTCACAATTCTACCCTGTGTTGCCAAGAAAGAGAAAAACCTGCTGGAAACCGGGTCCAGCGTCACAAGACCACTCAGCCTCAAAAGGAAGAAGAACTCCTCAAAATAGCCTTGAAGCACAGAAAAAGGAGGCTGAACTAATCATAGAAGAAACTCTCCACTCCTTCAGCCTATAATGCAATATCCTTGCTGCACAGGAAAACGCCGGCATGTTTCTAGGATCGAAACACTATTGGCAAAGAACAACGAGCTATAATCTGCAAATCTCGAAAAAGCACAAGGCAATTCTCGAAAATTATACAGTTTAACCCTAAAATTATTTCCAAAGGCAAACTAAATTCTCAGATACAATTCAAATCTAAATTTCAGAGCAAGTACTTACTAAATTGTAAACTGGGCATACTAATATTATCAACAGAAAATAAACAATTAAGAACAACCAATGCAAATTCCAAGATCTATCAATCTCAAAAAAAAGAGGAATCTCAATGACTAAGAGCTGGGAGGGAGGAATAGACATTAGGGTTACCCTCTCAACCTCACTATCCAAAACGCTGTAAAGAGCCTTTGTTGCCTAGACGGGTTTCCCACCACGCACCCAATGGATA